CCCCCCCCCGCCCCCTTCTCCCCATAAGGAAACACCCCTCTTAAATTAGCCCTTGCCAAACAGTCCCTAGCTGTTCTCTCCGCTTTTTTCTCTAAAAAAGTCGGTTCTGCCGGGCGGCGCGGGTCTCCCCGTGTTTTTTTAAGCTTTTTAAGTTCAGTGTAGTAGTTACTAATCGAGAAGATAATACATCAAGCTGTTGTTTCATACAAAGACTCTCGTGAATTTATTGAGCTGGGGAGAGCAAAACTGTTTTATCAGCGTTATTAGCTATCTGAAGAGGGTTGTGGGGTTTTTTTTGTTTGTTTTGTTTTTGCAAATGGGGGTCAGCTTCCTCATGTAGAATGAAACGTTAAAGCTGCACACGTTAGCTCAAAATAGTATCAAGAGGAGAACGTATTTTGCAGAAACTGCTGCCTCATAAGAGACTAGGTCATTATTTTTCCCTTTTATTTAATGGCAGAAACCAAACTAAAATACAGCCCAAACTCAAAGGGCAGGTTGTGCTCATTGCATTTAAATTTTACAGGATTCTTCCAGGCTTTTTCCCAATATGCTTATCTGTTTGTTAATATCTTTCTTTCTCTTACCTTGTATCACAGTCTTTTTAATGCTGTCCTTCAAATACTGCTGTATTGTACTCCATCATGTGTCTGCAGCAATCTAGAATTGTTTATGTTATATCCTGCCCTCTGTTCAAATTGAGTCATCAGGTGACATTCACTGGGAAGCCATGTAATACTTGTTTTCATCGGAATCCAATTTCATAAGTAGTTTGGAGTCAGTGTTGGACTTCATGAAGTTGACCATTACAATGCAGTGTTACGAACATACTAAACCCTTCCAGTGTGCACCAGAAAGAAGGGTAGTACATGTACAGGCAGCAGCAAACTCAGTGTCTTCAGCTTTGGCTGGAGAAGTCCCAGCCAGTCCAAAGGAGTAGAGATACATTTCATGCTGTTCATGGGCAGAGGGTGCTAATTTAATTGTTTTAATGTCACCATTTTAAATAAAATTAATTATGACAACAGACAGTTGTTAATTTAAAATGCGTATGAAAATGTGTGAAAGCACATGTTTTTCAATAATTAGATCACAGTGAAGCTATCAATATTTCAGATTTTGTGCCAGCATGTAAATAATTTGTGCTGGAGAAGGCAAAATTTTTCATTTTCATTTCCATGAGGTACTTTGTTTTTCTTCTTAGTTACCACTTCCACATAACGTGAAGCAAACACTGTGGTATATTTACATCACAGTGAATGCCATAACAGATGCATCTCTGATAAGTTTTCCAAAATCTGTCTTTTTTAAAAAAAGTTGTTTCTCCTCATCCACTGAATTTTGGTATTCAACCTGTTAAACAGGTTTACTGAGTTAATGGTGCTTTACCCTACTTACCAGAAAGCATTCCTCAGCTAAATAGCAGTAGTGAAGACATTTCTCATGCTGTTCATCTGCATGAGGTGTTAACTCAGTTATTCTAATAACATTAAGTTTGTATTTATTTTAGTTAGTTACTTGTTGCTTCTTGTAATCATTTTGTATGTTTTTAAATTAAACATATATTGTTGTTATTTCAGTCCTTCTGTGCCTGTATGTGTGCTGCAGGAACAATGTAGACATGAACACATTAATTCAGTAAAGGGAAACCTGCACATTGCTGCTGAGGCAAGGTCTTTTAGTTTTTCTGGGGCTTTGACCTTTAACTAAGTAACCTCAATATTTTATTTGGTATTCTAACCTCTAAAAAGAGCTAATTTGAGGACGTATTGAGGACCACTTTTTGGGAATCATCAGTAGGAGTAGTTTTTTTCTAAAAGACAAAATTATTTATTTTTCTGCTAGACAGAGGCTTTGGGCTTTCTGTTTCACTGGAACATGTCTAGTTGGTATTTGCTTGGTAACCTCTGTAGTCTCCACACAGCTTTCCTGTGATTTGTCTTGGTCAACTAGTGTGTGGATGGTATCTCTGAAGACATTTTATTCACGCAAAAGAATTGATCTCTTACTAAACCTGTGGTGATTTTTCTCTTTGTCAGTTTCCCTTAGCTCAGAGGGGCTTTCTGGTTTATCTAATAATCATCAGGTTATGCCTGAGACCTCATGTACAAGGCAAACTATAACTTGTTGGAAGAATTTTTCTGTTTCTTAGTTAACTCAATTCAGCTGTATTGGAGCTTGTGTTTATTGACAGTTTTTGCTGTTTTTTTCGGTAAATGAAGCTTAACTGGTGTGTCCTCCTCTACTCTCTGTCCATTTTCTCTTTCAGTTGCACTGAGTTTGCATAACATTGTGAACATTTCCTTTCATCAGAAATCGTTGCAAATATGGGTCCCCGGCGGAAAAATGTGAAACCATGCTCAGTGAACAGGGAAGGCTCTGAGTCTACCAAAGCTGATGAGCCAAAAGATTACATGAACCAACTCTCTCATGAAGTGCTTTGCCACATCTTTAGGTGAGCAGCTTGTCAGAAGTAATTTTATTGTTTATTATTATATTGTTTTCTGTTTTTTCCCAATCTTACCAGCATTGATGCTTGTGTCACATAGTATTCAGAAAGTGTAGATATACCATGAGTGACCTGGTGGATAAAAACTGGATAAAAAGGGGTGAGAAATGTTTTTTCAGTCCCAGAATTTATTTGGATACTTTGAAAATTCATGTATGTGAATGTCATGAATGGTAGAACGAAGAAGAAATGAATAAGTGATTAAATTCTGTTCACCAGTGTGTGGTAACAAGTGTTTAAATATTGATTTCAGTGCAGAAATGTATCTCAGGTATCACATAGTTGAGGTGCATGTTTTGAAATTGTTGCATTTGCTTCACAGTGTGTGGAAGGGAACTTGGATGAGTATATAATCTTCCCTACAGCACAGTCCTTCTCCAAGATGTTCACTCATGCCTATTATATTCAAAACATAATGTCTTACTGACAAGTTTTTTAAATACAGTAGCTCTCCAAAATGTTTGCAAATTGAGCATGCTAGTATGTACTGGAAAATGAAAGTACCTTTAATTAAACTGCATAGAAACTATTGTGGCAAATGGTTTGGTCAGCAGTATTTATTAGAGAACTAATGCATCTCTCCATTTTAATAGTATATTTGTACCTTAAATATCCTACATTCAGTGTCAAAAAATTGGTGAGTCATTCTGCTTAGCAACATTTCACACTTTATTAGAGTATGGTCTGAAAATTCTGTTTGAATTAATGTTATTAGGTGTTAGAAATATATGAATTTGTGTGGTCACGCTTGGGATGTTCTTCAGTTTGGAAAAAGTCAAAAAGGATCCACTTTTTATAAATCATAGGGGTGTTTTTTTCCTCTCCCAAAGGTACCTTCCCTTGCAGGATATCATGTGCATGGAATGCCTGTCCAGGAAGCTGAAGGAAGCAGTCACTCTTTATCTGCGAGTGGTGAAGGTTGTGGATCTATGTGCAGGCCGTTGGTGGGAATACATGCCCACTGGTGAGTAATGCACTTATTAAGATACGGCATTAACGTGGTGTTGAGCAAAACTGCTTGTGCTATCCTGGTATTTATAATGACATATGCAGGGTAAATTTTCAAAAGCAGTAAAAGGAGTTAGATATTTAATTCCTTTTGACTTTTGTGAGATTTGGGTGGCTTCTTTTGAGTATGTGGTTTGGAAAATTTATCTGTGTATATGTGTGTGTGTGTGTGTGTATTGGATATAACTGTAGCAGAAACGGGGATTCTCTGTAGCAATCTGTAAATACAATCTGTGTTTGTCTGATTATTGTAAGGGAGTTAATCCAAGGGTTAATCCAAGAAGAGGCTGTTTGCATGCAGGCAGGAAAAAATACAATGGAATGAGAGAGCAACTCATCTGCCAACACTTAACAATGTAAGAATAAATAAGTTTTGATGTCACACCTCAAGCCATCTTCAGATCAATAGATAAATTTGGCAACCTAGGTCAACCCTGTGAGTATTAGGATTTCTGTTGGATTTAAATTACACTGCTGGGATTTGTTGGGGGAGAGAGCTAAAATGAGTGAATTCTAAAAGTTAGAGGATCTGCAAAGTTACATTTATTAGGGCTGATATCAGGTAGATGGTTAGACCTAACCTAAGATAGATGTAAATACAGGTAACTTACTAGTTTAAAATCCTTTTTATCTGTGTCTTATGTTAGAATAAAATAACCCTTTGCTTTAAGAAACTGTCTTATTTCTTTGAGAATTGTGAGCTGTGGTGAACAGTGATGAACTGCATATAACTGATCCAGCTGGGCATTTTTGAGCCATATAGTTGATAAACGGAGTTCTGGGAAAGATAGACACACAAAGCCTGACAGTCTGCAGAGGTGCTTCATCTGAGAAGGGAGAAAGTATAGTTCACCCTGTAGCCATGCAACTCCACTGAAGGAAACCTGTAGCAAGCCTGTAAAATTCAAGGCAGAAGAGTATGTAGGTCATGATTTCTAGAATCTGGAAGTAGAAGACAAGCTATTGCTTCACTGAGTACATCTTTCGGCATTGTAGAATTTATACTACCATATAAAGAGAACAATGTATTTGGCTTTCCCTTTACAGCTAGGTGTCTGCTGTCACACAAATACCAAATCTGTTGTTGTCATCTTAGGTTTCACTGATTCCAGTTTCCTAACGCTGCTGAGGAAGATGCCAGACATTGAACAACTTTATGGTCTTCATCCCAGGTATCTTGAAAGACGCAGAGTCCGTGGCCATGAAGCTTTCAGCATTCCTGGAGTTTTAGAGGCTTTGCAGGCCTGTCCAAATCTGCTGGTGAGTGGTTAGACTGGAGAGAGAACCTCCTTCAGCAGCTGAGATGGTGCTTGTTAACAGAGCAGAAGAAATATGGCAGGGACTCATTATGTACAGGGCTTCATGTTCAGACCTGGGCTTTGTATTTGGATCTGGCTGTACAGAGTAGCAGTTAATTGTGACCATATTTGCAAATGAGTACTATTTTTTTAGTTGCGCCAGTGGGAATCACAGGTGCTCTTAAGTCCAGAAATGAATTAAAACTCTGATGCCTCTGCTTTCAAAAAGACAAGGCTTGCTACAAATTTCAAGTGAAATAACACATTGCCTTATGTATGGTATGTTATTGAGAAGTTAAGAGGATATTGACACTTGAACTGGTGTTAGAGCATTTGCTTTGCTTCCTTTTATCCAGGGTGTTGAGACCTCTCATTTAGAGCTGGTGGAAGCGATTTGGACGTACATGCCACAAGTTCACATTTTAGGGAAGTTTCGTAATCGTAATGGTGCTTTTCCAATTCCTCCTGAGAACAAGCTGAAAATTCCTATAGGAGCTAAAATTCAGACTTTGCACTTAGTAGGTAAGTGTGGTGATGGTGAAGTAGTTGGCTTCAACACAGGTGAATTTAAAAGCTTTGAAACTCTGCAAGATTGTAATTCTTTTTGAGAGAGGGAATTTGGCGTGTGGCGTTTTCGAAATATTAGTTGTTGTATATATGATAGCAGGTCCAAAGGGCAAATTGTAAAAAAAAAAAAACCAACTGTGTTGACAAACTGAGGTGAAGAACTTGTGTTTAAAATGTTTACAGCTTTTCTCACATGCCAAGTAGCAAAGAAAAGACTTCCTTTTTAAAGCCAGGATGTTAATCCAAAGAAATTTATCCTAGAGTTTATACTTTAAATCTTGTTTAAAATGTTTGTTTTGTTTATGTATTACTAGGGGTGAATGTCCCTGAGATTCCTTGTATCCCAATGCTGAGGCACCTTTATTTGAAGTGGGTGAGACTCACCAAACCACAGCCTTTTAAAGATTTCCTTTGTATCAGCTTACGCACTTTTGTCATGAGGAACTGTGCTGGTAAGAGGGATTCATACGTGGAGGGGATGTTTTAGCATGTAGGAAATGTACTAAGTCTGCTAAAGCTGCATAGGCACCAATTGTAAATAGAAATTCTAGAATACAAGATTCTGAAAACAGTTATTGTTTTATTCATGGTGTTGGATAGAAATGTATCCCTCTCCTGTACGTTATTTGGTGCTATGTAGTTCTGTTGACTTCCTGATCTAGATGCATATAATGTGGACATCTTTTAATTCTTTAATGTGATATGTTCAATGTTGTTAAGTGAATAACCTTCTTTGTCTATATTGGTTTATTCTATGTAGGACCCACAAATTCTTTGAAGTATGTTCCCCTAGTGACGGGCCTGGCTTCTGCTCGAAATTTGGAGCATTTAGAACTGGTTCGTGTTCCATTTCTTGGAGGACTTATCCAGCATGTAGTAGAAGATAGCTGGAGATCAGGTATGAAACTTCTTATCCCTCATACTTAAAACAAGCAAACAAATAAATAAATGAAAATCTTAGCAAATACTGGAGGCACGTGAAATTTACCTTTTTTGTCTTATATCCTTTCTTGATTATTATTTTAACGGTGTCAAGTTTGGATCTATGGTTATGGTGCTAAATAGAGCTCTGTATTGAGTATTGTTTTATCTTTTAACTGCAATTAACTCCTGACTGGTAAGCTAACCTTCCGGTTGGATGTGTTGGTAAGTAGCACTAGCAGGATTGGAGGGGAGTTGGGTGCAAATACGTGTTTTATTGATTTGCTGAAAAAGATGTGTTTTGTTAATTCAGTTGTCAAGACAACAGTAGTGGGAATGTATAAGGCTTAAGGTTGTGATCTGTGACTGAAGTGAAAGAATGGGTTTTTTTATTTGTCAGGTGGTTTTAGGAATTTGCACACTATAGTTCTGGGAGCTTGCAAGAATGCACTTGAAGTGGATCTTGGCTACCTCATCATAACTGCTGCACGAAGGTATGGGCTTTTAGATCTTTCTTTTCCCCCCTCTCCTTTTTCAAAATAAATATCTTAGTAATGAAGTCCAAGAACATGAAGAAGCAGAACAGCCTTCAAAAATTTAAGGAATAAACATTTAAAGTTTACATAACAGGAGTATTCTGTGGTTAAAATAACTGGAGTTATGTCTGTTTCTGAATCACTTCGTGTCATAAGCCTTCTTCTTAGACCTATATCTGAAAAGTGTGCTGTTAGTCTCACAACTATATTGCTATGTAACTGCCAAATACTGCTGTAAAGATACAACAAATATGCTGCCATTGTTGAAAGAATATTTTCATTTTATTATGAGAGGGCATTTTCTTGAGTGGTTTCTATGGCAATTGTGGTTTGGCATGCCTCTTAATAGGAACAATTCTTAATTGCATTCAGGTTGCATGAAGTGCGGATCCAGCCTTCCTTGACCAAAGACGGTGTTTTTTCTGCTTTGAAGATGGCTGAACTGGAATTTCCACAGTTTGAAACTCTTCATCTAGGATATGTTGATGAGTTTTTACTACAGTGTATGACATTTTTTATATACATAGATTATTTGACAAATATAAGGATTAAATCAGTTGATGTGTTTTCAATCATTTTCTAAGAGTGATTAAAAAGAATATTAACGTACCCATATTGAGGCTGCTGATCTCATACAGCCAAATATGTTTTTCTTCACTTCCTGAAACTCTTACTGAAATTGGGAGTGTCTCAGCTTTATTGAACTGAAGTAATAATCTGATCCATTTTGCCAAACTGGACTTATTTTAGTTGCTAACACCCTATTTTGGGTGTTAGCAAATCATGCTATAAAAGGGAAGTTTCTGAAATTTACTGCTGTGTTTGCTATTATCTTTTTCATAGGTAAAATGACGAATGGAGACTTGGTGAAGTACGGCTTGGCTGATGTGGTTGAAAATCCGGGAATTATTACAGATATTGGTATGAAAGCTGTAAATGAAGTTTTTTCTTGCATCAAGTATCTGGTCATTTACAACTGCCCACATCTACATAACCCAAATAATTGGATCACAGGTATTGCATACCTTTGAAATTTTAGAGATATATGAATTGCTGTGGTATTAAAACAGTTTTTCTGCTCATAGTACTGCTTGTTCTAGTTCTTAGTAAATACAGTAGATAAGGCTTGGTTTGGAGCTATAATGATGCTGGTAACAGTCAGAATGGAGATACAGAAGATGCCTACTCTCAAATCTGAAAAGGGTATAATGAAAAATAAGTGAGATAGGAATCCTTCAGGAAATGCATCTCTTCTCTTCCGCAGATCATTCAAGGTGGACCCGACTGGTTGACCTCACCCTGGTGCGATGCCATGCGATAAAGCTAGATTCTTTTAGTCAGTTCATTGAGTTATTGCCAAGCTTAGAATTTATTTCTCTAGACCAGATGTTCCGTGAACCTCCTAAGGTGAGTTTTTCAGGGAATGGTTTTGCTTTTTATTGTTGCCAGCTCATTGGAAATATGGTGAGCTCCAGCTGTTATGCACTCTTTTAAAAGTTGTAATTAATTAAATAGCTTGGTAAATAAATGACTTTGGTTTGCAGTCGCTATTATTATGGTATGTTAGGGAGAATGATGCTGCTTCTGCAGATGGGAGCAGTGGCAAGGTATTTCCTTGGTCACATATTCATACAAGATCATAAGACTCACATTGATTCTGTGTTTCTGTTGAGGACTCTGCTGCTACTTCATTTTGCTGGTGCTTTTTGTATGATTTTTTTCACTCTTAGGGATCTACTTACAGTGCTGAGGGGTTTTTATGATTTTGTAGTGGGTGAGATGGGGGTACTGTTCCCCTGTTGGAGTGCTTTCAAAGCTTAGGAATTTTATTTCTTCATGTTGTCCCCTCTCCCACACTGTAACACAAATCTTTGTAACAGTTGTTGTAAAAACTGTGTACGTAAAAAACCTGCTTTCTTTGATAATTCTATCTTGAGGCTACTGTGTTCTGGGAAGACTATATAATCTGCTATTTGTATGGATATAATATGATCTCATAGCTAATGAAATACCATTTAATAAAGTAAGATTGTATGCTTTGTGGAGTTCCCTTTCATTAGGCGTTTAACAGAGTGTAAGTTTTCTGGGTTGCAAAACTTAAGATGGACCTCTGCAATGTGTAGCATAAGAAAGTATTAGGGACAATTTCCCTGTTCTTCACGTGCATATTGTTCTGCTATCCCAGATACTACGGTCAGAATGCTTTTTCTGTTGGCATTAGAATATGTTGTTGAGATAATGTGTCTGTGTTTTCAAATCTCAATACTTGCTCTTTGTTTTTAGGGTTGTGCTCGTGTGGGCCTAAGTGCAGGCACAGGAATTGGTGTCTCATCTGCCCTAGTCAGCAATCAGAACTCTAACAATGACAATGACAACAACAATAACCACCATAATAATAATAATCCAAACATCCACCACAACAATCACCAACACCCAAATGACCCGAATGAGGAGAATGAGCTGCGCCAAGATGGTCAAGCTGAAGAGCAGCAGATTGCAGCTGAGGGTAATCTCTGATCTTTGTGATCCTTTGTAGGGAGTGATTTTATATTTGCATTGCCACTTATGTAGGGTCCTGGAGAAGATATGAATATACGTTGAACGTTTGTTGCTCTTTCAGTTCCTGGTATGTAACTTTAATCTTTTCTGAGGGCTGTCTGCACCCCTCTGATACCTGTGTGATAAAAGCTATCTTTGTATTGTATCTAACAGCTGTTACAGGTACATTACGATTCAATGATATGTGTCAGTACAGATGTTAGCAATGCAGAGGTTCAGTGTGATACTCATCTGTGGAAGTGTGAAGTGTTTTTGAGGTTCCTCTGGTAAGAGCTGGGAGTACATCACAGTGTCAGATGGTATATTTTTAAACTTTCCCAGCAAAGGCAGAATTTATTGGAGGGGACGAGTACTGAAATCCTGGTTATCCTGCTCACTGCAGTAGAACAAGACTTTTGAGGAGAATTGGAAAATTTGGGAGAAGTAAACCCCAAACGTTAGGCTGGGGCCTTGGCTAAACAGATGAAGAACAAATCTGTGAGCGATTTTGTGCAACCTAGAGACTCACTGAAGGAATCAAGGCAGCTGTTTCTTATTTCTTGAGGATTCTCTGACTCTCTGTGGGTGCCGGTTGAATTCCTCCTATGCTTATGGGCTCTGTTCTTTCTGTTTCCTCTTCTTGACCTCATCTTAACATTTTCAGCACTCAATGAGATGGAGGAGGTGCCACAGGAAGAAGGGATGGCTGCGGGGCAGGGCCAGAATGAGCTCCCAGCTCCCAGCCAGGCTGTTGTTCCTATGGAGGTTGACGAAGAGCAAGCAGGTAACTCTGGTTTTGGAAAGAAATTACCTTTAGGTATCCCCTTCTTGAGGGGTTACATTTTTCAGTGTAAATCTGGTTTTGGATCGTTTTCTTCAACTGGGGTGTCTGGTGTGTTTGGAATAATGATGCTAGCACAGCTTACTGCTCTGAAGAAATTTATTCTGTTTAAAAGTCTGTTTTACAGTCCCCAGTTTTCTTTCGCATATGGAATAAAATATCTTGCTCTTAAAGCCTTTTTTTTGTGTCCAGTCTAATAAAAGAAGGCCTGAATGAGCTTGTCGTGTTCCGCTGTTGGTGTTAATGGCCTTACTTGTTTAACTGCAGTATGTGGATCCTTTTTTGCTTTTTTTTTCTTAAACCAGAACAACTTGTTCCAGTGTTAATTTAATTTGTATTAGTGACATAAGGCAGTCTTGATTTCTTTTATAGCCACTGTTTGCTGGACAACATAATTTTCTACTAAATATGCCAGCAAAATGAAGTAACGTACACATATGCTGGATCTGTTCACTTTTTCAAGATAACTCCTGAAAACGTTATTTAACTTCATGTTCATGTTCATTTCTGGTGTTATTGACGGACAGATAAGTCATTGTGATTAGCTCATGCCTTCAGTTAGTAGCCAAGAGAGGTAACCTACAAAGCACATTCATAATTCATGCTTCTTCCCACTTCTACTGGTGGGATTTAGAAGGATAATTGCAGGTGTTCTGACCAACATTTCTGTCTTTGTGGTGGTGGTTTCAGGGACTGATTATAATAGGTAGTTGTGCAGTTACTTGTACTATTGTGGAAGAACATTTAAGCTGTTCTGAAGCAGAGAAACATTACAGAAAACCTGTGTTTTGTCTTATATTGTGACACTTCCCCTTCCAAACTAGAATGCTTTAATGCTGAAATGTAGTATTTTGCTCTTCTTGTATTTGGATTTTAATGAGGGAGCCACAGAATGGGTGGCTAAATTGAACCAAATTAATTTCTTGTCATTTTTTCAAGCAGTTCTAAAAGTTCTTCAGCCCTTGAATCCATGCCTGGCTTATTTTTACATGAACTGTTGGCATTCTTCTGCTGTTTTCAGGACCAAGTGGCATTCAGCCTGTAGTAAAAGCAGCACCTATTACTGTCCATGATTCAGACAGTGAGGATGAGGAAGAGAACATGGGGACTTCAAGAGCCTGCATCTCTAACAGCATTGCACAGAATTACTCAGATGGAGAAGAGAAAAGCAGAGATCCAGTGGAAATTAGAGAATCTTCAGGTGTGGAAGAGAGGGGTTCTTGGGTACTGTTAAGCAAAATTTATTCTTAAGCTTCAGTCGTTCCATCTTGTTCAGTTTTATTTCTAGCTTTGTAAAAGGCATGTTTGTTTGTTTGTCCCCTACTCTTTTCTTCCTGTTAAATCTAGAATGGGAGGTGTAAGGACATATCTCTCTGAGCTCCAGTTATATAGTCACTGTACAGAAACACAAAAATAGTGGTGCTGCACTGCTTTGCATGCAGAAACCTGCAGCTTCTCTTTAGGATTTCCAAATACACAGAATTTATCATGTCTGTGAAGCCAAATTTGCAGCTATGTGGTCTATATGATTCATCTGTCAAAGCATTGCTGCAGGAACAAAATGTGACTGTTGGGGCAAATGCATGAGAATTGTAGCCATCTTTTGGTTCATGGGAGCCCTGTGGGAGTGTCCTGAAGGGGACACTTTAAGATCAACTTTACTTTGATGGGAGCTTTTTTATTAATCTGTAAATTGAGACTGCTGTTACCTATTGACACCACTTTCCATACCCAGGAGGGGGAGCCAAGTATTGCTATTGAAAGCATAAACTTTAGTCCTATCTATGTTACTATTTAATTCCTGGGATTTATTCCTCATATTTAAGAAAACGGAAGCCTATTATCAGTGTGTTTTTCATGTTTTTGTGCTTTGGCCTTTTTAACCAGTTAGCTGCTTTGTGAAAAGATGAGCCTCTCTGGCAAATACATATCTCATTTACTGACAAACACTCCAGCACATCACTACAAAAATAGCTGCAAGACATTATAGAGATTCAGCAACTGCTAGAAATATTATTAATTCCCATAACATGTGAGTAGCAGCACGGTCCTGACAAGGTTTGTCATTGGCCTCTAGGCTGCCTTCTGTTTTAAGTAGTCTCTAACAGAGTAGAACTTAGCATTTATTTAAACTGTGTATTAAGTTGTCTCATTGTTCTCTCTCACTTAACTCTTTCAGTGAGCGGAAAAGGCAAGACACCACTGCGGAAGAGATGTAGTGCCAGCCAAGTGGGCCAGACAAAGCAGTTCCACGCTGAGGAAAGCAGCTGTGAGAAAGGTTGTCAGGTAACAAGTGAGCAGATTAAAGCAGACATGAAAGCAGCAAGTGACATGCCTGAAAGGAACAAAAGCAAAGATTCTTATCCAGGTTGCAGTAATGCTACAGGATCAACGGGAACATCCAGCTCCTGCAGTGCTGCTTCTCCTAGCCCTGACTGTGCACAGACAGCTAACAGCCACTCTGCTGGCACCAGTCCAGCAACTGGAGATGAATCCAGGCAGTGTGTCTGCTCGCCTTGTAAAAGTGAAGGCTCCAGTGAGAGAGAGACCGAGGAGAGCTCTGTTTGTTCCAGGTGTTCCCACTACAAGTCACAGGACGCACAACAGAGGACTAGTGGGTGTTACGATGGGGATTGCCCATCCACGAGTACAGCCTGCAGGAATGGACCAAATAGTACTGGGTCAGATTTTGCACTTAGGACTCTGCCGAACTGTGGGCCTCCAGGAGAGACAAGTGATGAGAGGACTAGTGGGAGTGCCTGCGGGCCTGCCAATGAGGAGGAGAGCACAGGCTCCCAGAGAAGGAGCTGTGAGATGGTGTATAAAGAAGAGTATCCTCGCCGACCACTAACAAGAGCTAGAAGCAAGCTGTCCCATGTCCCGCTGGTGTCAGAGTCAGGTATGACTTTCATGCATATGTTAATTTCTGAGTAAAGTGCTGTGCTGGCATGAGACAGAATTGAACAACAGCAACACCCACAGATAATACTGAAGTTAAACATGAAGTTTATTGGTTAATAATTTAAAATTAAGTGGTTTGTCAAAGGGACAGAATATGGATGGAACAGAAATGGCTGATTTCACTGCCACAGCTAGGTAAAATAACAGATCTCTCTGAAAGAGTGCCAGTGACTTTTTTCTCCATGCAAGTATTTCTGTATGTGTTATCCGTACATACTGAACAGTGTTTGATTTACTCATTTGAAAACCAAATGCAACTTCTTTTGACAGCTTCTCTCTTCCTGTGAAGGCTGTTATTCATTGAAACATAAGACTGTCTCCCCCATTAAAATTCTCCCTTTAAAAAGAAGAAGACAGCAGGTACGCTCAGATCTTAGCAAGAAGGCAAAAGTTAATAACTGATACTTTATCAGCCAATAAAGCAAGCCGTAATTATAATTGAGCCCAGCTTGTGCACCTGTGTATTGGATTCTACTTCCAAATGTATAAGACATGGTGATCAAACTCGTTGAAAACTGTCTTTTTATTAAATAGGTTCATGCTTCACATCATGTAAAAAAAAACCAAAAAAATAAAATAAAAACAAAGTCCTGAAGGGCTGGAATGAAGCCAGAAATATTGGGAGAAAAGAATAGACGTGAGAGGGGAACTTGCTATTTCTTCCAAATATATTTGCTTTCCAAAATAATCATCTTAGTCTGGCATAGCATGCTTTATAATTATCTCATATATCCAGGATTCTTTGCTGAGAATATCTGGCAAGTAAAATGAAACTCAAAAATGAAACATGCTAGTTACTGAACTGTATGCGTTGGAGGTAGAAAAGATTGATAGCAAACCTGTATCTCTGTTAACATGGAATGATTCAAACACGGCATGTCCTAGTGTCTTTCCAGTTTCTCTTAATGTTCCCAAGTGTTAACGAAACCTAAATCACCTAGGATATTGTTCTGTAGCCAGATGCATCTCAGATGGAAGAAATGATCTTGCTATTAAATTTAAAATATCTGTTTTCTACCTTGTTCCATTATGACTAGTAATTAGTGTACAAAAATCAAAAGAACATATTTCCTCTCTATCCTCATCCATTACAAAACATGAAGTGAAGTCAGTCATATCTAAGTATTAAATTAGGGTATCTTTCTGAAAGTAGCTCTGTTTTCATGTTTCAGTTGTTAGTCAGGAAAATCTGTTCTGCTTGCGGAGAAAAATGTCTCAATATTTCCTATATTTAGCTTACTAACAGTCAGAACTGTTTTCCCAGCTCCATACAATTATGTGTGTGTATTTATGCGCTTATTTACCTCTTTGAAGCATGAAATATTAGCTGATGCTTGAGGCAGAATGTGAGACTTGATGTGTCGTTTTTATCTTTTAAATCTGTATTTAATACATAGGACAATGAGGCTTTTCTGCCTGGCTGTTACAGTGCTTTTCTTCACTAGGATAGGATATACAGCTCATTAGAGTATAACCTGAAAATGCTTTGTTACAGAGTTGGAAACGTTTTTCCATAAATAGTCTAAAAATGTGCCTTGAATATGACTGCTTTCTGTTATTCTAGCATAAATGACATTGTGGTTTTCAGCTTCTGTAACAAACCTGTGTTTGATAGTAGAAGTATTTTTTTCCCCTTGAATTCTTTACTCATATTAAACAGTGGAACAAGTCAAATGTTAAAGACAATGAAATTTTAAAAGCATTATCACCACAGACCAGCTGGCTAAAGGACAACTCAGGTGTGTAATTTTGATTTTTACTCTAATAAAAATGTAAGCCACACTTTTTCTTGTAATAAATGGGGTTGTTTTTAAACTTGTTTTAGTTTGCATTTGTAGTGAAGCAAGCTTTTCACGTTGTCGTGGTTTAGCCCCAGCCAGCAACTAAGCACCA